ATGCATCCTAAACATGACCATAACCCTAACCAAGATTTTTGTTGTCTAACCCTAACTATACATCAACCATAATTTATTTGTCATAACCTCAATGTTCCCTCACCATACCCGAGCCATGTTCAGATATTGTAGAAAGCGAAACATTTAAAAATGTTGAAGATATTCTCTGGCAAAACAATTACCTCAAAGCAATTTTACTGATTTGGAATAAACGCTTGACTCAGGACAGGAAAATAGTTTCCCCTCCAAGAACCAAGTCTGTCCCCTTTCTTCAACTCTTACTCTTTCACCTCTAACCCCCCCAAATCCCAATTCAACTCCTCCCAGGCCAAGCCCCACAGCTTGTTTCCCTGGGAACATCATCACTCCTGGTACACATGGCTGGGCGAGTACACATCGCCAAGCTGCTAAGTCTACACTGGCTGGGGTGCCCCATGTTTGCCCCATGCGTTCGTGGCCGCTGGGCTTTCTGGGTCAGAAATGGCACACCAGGGTGTGATGGACTTTGCTCTTCTGGTAATGGCCATTGTAGGTGTGAAATTCCCAGATATGAGGCTGGCCACTCAGCCCGGCTGCTCCAGAGCCCAAAAAGCTGCACAGACAGAGGGAGGGAATGGATGTGTTAGACCTTTTGGTAAGCCACCATCACCTGTGTCTGAGTTGAAACACACAGTCTCATTTTACTTCTGGTCTTTCTTGACTTAGTGGACAAACAGACAATGCACTCATAGAAATAGCTTTTAAAATGCTGCACTGTATATTCCTGCTGAAAAGTCTTAATATTATTGTTTTTATTGGACATTTCAGGTGTGTAGCAGTCAGTGAGTCATGGAATATAGTACACATGTAGCCACCCTCAGTTTCCCTAATTAAGAGTTACGGGAGTGTTGGTGTGGTTGGTGATGGGGAGGCATGTCATCTGGGCTCTCTATGGTGCCAGCAACATGACCTGAGACAACCTTTATACTGAACGTCCTCACTGCAACTGCGGCAAAATCAGGTTGCAACTATAATTTTTCGTCTCGGAAGAAAAACTGTGCTATCATGATTATTGATAAAAATCACAGACCTGAGACACTTCGTTGTCAGGTCTTTTTCAAGAAGCAGTCCTTGTCACCACTCACAGTAATGACTGTGAGTCAGAGTGCACCCACTGTTTTAGTACACAATATGTGGCACACAGTCAGGGTTCAACACTTCAATCCACTGTCATCTTGGCATGGCTACATTTAGTCATGTTTGTTTCTTAGCAGTCTTGAGTTGCTTCCTAAATGTTGTCTTATTTTTCAGAGGAAAAGACAAGCTTCTGTGTAGATGTATGGAAAGTGAATGTCAGAAAGCTTTTTTCTCGTTGCTATATTTAGCTTAGGTAATTGTATTTAGTAATAGCTATAGAGTAGGTAAACAAACGTCAACCTCTATGTTGCCTCCAAAAGGTCACAGTTTAATTCGTTTTTCTACCCAGGTGTGACTCCCCGAGGGGAGGTCAGAATACTCTACGGTCGTTAAAACACAATATATGTTTAGCATTGGTGTTCTATATGAGTTTTTCTGACACGCAGAGAGAGAGTCCTTTAAGACAGTTTGCAGAGTGAGGATATGTGTTTCAGGGTAAAGTATAAAGCTGTGTTTTATTTAATGCCCTGTATGAACTAAAAGTACTTGTTTAGACTAGTATAACAAGTCATTGGTATCCCGATATGCACATGCCCTAGGGTTGGGCTTAAACACTCTCCATATTCATCCTGGAAATGTTGAGGAGTTGATCTTAGGCTCCCTCACTTTGATAAATCTCACAAAGGTTTTCTGTTTTAAGAACACAGAAAGTTTCCTCTTTTTCCATCTGCCTTGACTCTGCCTTTAATTCAGGTCGTTAAGAGTGAAACTTTAATTTCACAATCTATGATTGAATCCTGGACTCTAATATGATCCCAGCAGCCATTCGAAGGCAAATGTTCTCCCTACATGAACTTAAAGTTCTATTGTGTGTTGTTATTGTTCCATTTATTCGATTTAGTTCACTTGTGAGTTTAACAACACAAACTACTCTTGGAATTATTGGCGTTAAGACGTTTCTTTCTGTACTAAAATATTGTACTTCCTTACCCAGCCTGGTTGTTTTGCAAAATGATGCCTGACAGTCAGGCCTTTTCCTGTGGCTTTTGAAATCCAATAACAGAGGCGGCGTGTTTTGGTTCCAGTGAGATGATGGTGTTGTTCTCCCTCCAGCCTGCTCTGTATAAAAGCTGTTTTTAACCCATCGGTGTTTAGAAATTCACCCATTTATCCCTTTATATTTATATCGAATGTTGTCCTTTAAGGATTTTGGCAGCCAGGTAGACATTTGACGATTTCTGGTGTGATACAGGTCTCTTTTTCAAGCCTGAAGACTTTTCATTGAAATCTGTGGTTTGTAACAAGCAGATTTTTGCACCAAGCAGCACATGGCATGCTCATTACACATGCAGTCTGTATTTGTTTGGGTCTTTGGAATGAATTCAGTTTACAGTAACAGGATGCAACAGAAGAGATGTATGTGTGTTGCACCACATTCAAGGAATGATTGAAATACATGTGGGAGGACTTGCTCTCCCACCAGAATTCGGTGCATAGTGAGAGACGTGATGTCTAAATCTAAAGACTGTATGTAAATCACAGCTCAACTCAACCCCTAGTGGCTTGATGGAATATTGTGTTCTTTCAGTAAATTCCACCTCACTCCTAAATCCCAGTTTTAGATCCTGCGACACAATCACATCTTTTGCTGCTAAGTGTGTCAGACAGCCTGTCATTATTGTTCTAATTTCCCTTACTATATGGACAATTAGTGCTATTTTTATCTGTTTACTATCGTTATGATAATGACAACACTTGAGTAGTAGACAGTAAACAAACAACAGCTTTCAGATGTTGGATTAGTTTTTGTATGTGACTAAAGCCCCAGATTTAAAGACATAAAAGACTGCAGAGTGGCAGTCCGTGGCTCCGGTTTTGAAGGATTAGTGTTTCTTAGCAATAAAGAGCACTGAAACGACTCTGTCTTCCCTTTCTCTGTCGTCCCTCGACCAACTCACTCTAACGGTTTGAAACCGCGACCCCAGGCCTGGGCTTTCTAAGCCTAGAATGAAGGCAGCCCATAACCCTAAGTACTGTTTTGTGGACCTGTGTAAATTTGACACTATTACGCCACAGAGAGGGTCTGTGTAGGTGTTAATGCAAGTGTGGGAGGTCGCCAGAGATGTGGATAATCCCTGCTGACCTCATGTGCTGCCAAAAAAGTTGCTCCCTTTTTCATTACGTCACATAGACTTTTTTTTATCCTTTCTGAGATCTTTTGAATCACTCTCAACTTTTTCCTGCAATCCTCTACTCCATTTTATTCATATTGAGCAATTAAATAACTACTACTGTATCTTAGACTTGTGTGACCTTATTTACAGTCAGGGCTGTCTTTTACTGTAAAAGCACTTCAAACAGGACACAATATGCAGTAGTGGTGGTTCTGGTGGAGGTAGTGTGTGCTGTGGTGGTGTCTCTTTTTAATTTTCAGCAGGATCAAGGCCCGACTGTCCTATGAATTAGAGCCTGTTTTACAGCATTTACCAGCAATTGAGCTCTCAGATTCTTCACTACTTTGAACTTTAATTTTTGCTATTTCATGTCAAGGATCACAGTTTGACCTCCGATTAACCCATAACAGTAAGTTGTTTAGAACGTACTGTTCTGTGTCTGTTTCCCTGTTAAATTAAGTAAATTACCCTTTGCCAAGTTGATATAAAATTTTAAACGTCACTGTTTTTACTCTTAAGGGTAAGGGTTAGTTACTCTTTTCTTTTACTTTGCACCTCTCTGTCTATGCCATGGCTCGGTGTAAACTGGCAGACGCGGTTGAGCTAGGTTTGTGTGTGGTAGCACTGGGGGCAGGGTGCAGAGCTTTCCTGGGTTGAGTGTACCCTGCCCCTCATAATTACAGACAGTAAACAGCCAGTGCTATTTTCCCTGTCTGATGGGGAGAGAGTTCAATTTGGCATGAGAAGAAAAGACAGAGAGGATGAGAAGGAACAGAGAGTCTGAAGATGGACAAAAACTGTCATCCTTATTTTTGGTGTTGATGATGTTGGTGAGACTTAGAGACAGGTTTATAGACGCACAAAAACACAGAGACAGACATTGTCCCCACCCCCTAGAACTCAACACACATACTTCTTTTTGAGCGACAGTCATTTGATGTGATCTTTCTTAGAGTAAGTCCTAATTAGAGCTTACAACAACCCCTGTTTAAATATGTCTTTGCTCTTTTTACTTTTCTCCCTAAAACAGTCAAATTGATCAACCATCTTGCTCTCTCTCTCTCTCTCTCTCTCTCTCTCTCTTTTTCTTACTCTCTGAGTGTGTCTGTGTTATTCTTTCCATCTGCCTGTCTGTCTGCGTCCTTCCCACTGTCTCTCTTCCTCTCTCTGAAGAAAAATCTCTGCTGCATCACGCTCCTCCCTTGGTCCACATTTTATCCTCCTCCCTGTGCTGTCCTTCTTCATTTTACCTCCGTTACGTCACACACCCTCTTTATCCTCCTGGCAAAACCGTTAAGCTGAAACAACTCTTAGTGTATTCAATGTAAAATGTCAAAACAAACAACAACAGTTTGTGGATTGGAACCATATGCTATACTATTTCTCTGTCTCATCACCTCCTTCCTCGTCTCTCTCTCTCTCTCTCTCTCTCTCTCTCTCTCTCTCTCTCTCTCTGTCCCTCTCTGTCCCTCTCTGGCTGTGCACTGCACAGCACTGGCAGGCGGGTTGATGGGAGGTTGTCTTTGGCAGTCTGCTCCCCCTCTCTTGGCAGGGACAGGCCCTGGAGCTACTGGCTGGGAGTATGGAAGGGAGGCGGGGAGGTAGTGAAGGTTGAGGGGAGGGAGGGAGAGAGGGCTTGAGAGGAGGGAGACTTGAGGGGTGGAGGCGTGGTCTGCAGCTGGTAATGAAGTCTTCTTTTTTCATCCTCAGAAGGCAGAGTGTGAGCGGACGGGCCCGGCGTCTGCGTGGCTCCACTACTTTCTGTGCCTTTAAAGTGTGCCGAGTGCCCCTCCGCTCAGCGCTGTGCTGCCTGTGTGTCAGCGTCAGTCTCTAACAGCTGAGTGATACAAAGAGAACAAGTCAGAGAGAGACCGCTGCAGTCATGGGACTTTCCTTTGTATCGGCTCCACAGCATTACTCTTGAGGTAAGACTTCAGTCTGACTCATTCTTGTGTGCTGCTCCTGCCTGTCTCTCTCTCACTGCTCTCCTTTCCTGTCTGTCTCTGTTGATTGTTGTGGTGGGGGGGGGGTGATAGGGGCTGTCCACTTTAGATCCCACCCACTTTGAATGTGCGTGTGTGTGCACATAGAGTATGTGCACATAGAGTATGTGTGTGTTTGTGCATGCACACACGAATACACTGTATCTGTGTGTCTGTGTCTTTTCAGATTTTCTACACTGTTTATGTATGAACACACCCTGAGTCAGCAGTCAGTGAAAGGTTTACGTTGATTTTGACAAATGGCTCCTATTAGTCAGGCAAGGAAGAGGGTCAGAATGGGGCTGAGACTTTCTGTAAAAAGAAAGATGGAAAATCAATAATGGGATGGGAACTTTACTAAGAGTTGACTGGAAATGGATATTCTGATCATTTTGTTTCTCAGAATTGTTCTTGTTGTCAGGTAAATTTTATTTCACTCTATGAATTCTATTGTTGGTCTGGGCTAGGGCTTGTGTAATATACAGCTATATGGTGATGCTACCTTCCAATTTTAAATGAGCTATTAAATGTTGTACAGTGCGATCTACATCTGTGTGTGTGCGTGCGCATGTGTGTGTGTCTGTGTGTGGGTACGTGTGGACATATTTATCTGGACTGCTGATTGTTGTTTAAGGCAGATGGATACAGCAGGCTGTTGGGGCTCATCTCTGTAAATACAAAAGGACAGGAGACAGTCTGTACTCATCTGCAGCCCAGTGACCCCAGGCTTTGAAGTCCTTTCAGTGCATCTGTCCTCCCCGCTGGGCAATTCAGATCCGGCCTGCAACTCAGTCACTTTCATCCACATTTTCTTGGAAATCCATCCATCTGTATTATTTCACTCACCTCCTTCCTGCTCCCATTCACCCCATGAGTTATTGCACCCTAATACCCCTTGGTGAGGCCTTAACCTCTTATCAACACCTCCCGTACTCTCATAGACAACATTCCTACCGTTTTATTCTCCATCTCCACTTGTCAGACATGGTTCTGGGGAACGGGTCTTTCCGATACCTCTCCCAAAAAACCTAAGCGACTTTCCATTAGTTTCTGCTGGGCCATGAGGATTATGGTTTCCCAAATGAATAGTGTACAGGAGCTCGGCTTGATTGAAAAAACACAAGCATGGTTTGCCATGAAGGAGACGGTCCTTGTGTCACTGTTGAACTGTGCGAATGTACTTTCCAGAGCTGGCAAGAGGGAGAGACAGAGGGGAAAATACAAAAAGAGCACGAGATAGAGGACAGACAGAAGACCGAGGCAAATAGAATTACAACATGAAAGTGTGGAAAATCAAACAGACTGATTGAAAATATTGTGGGAACTATACAAAGATTTTTTTCGAAAGGAGCCCAGAAGAAAAAGAAGGCAGTGCTGTGTGTGTGAATTTCCAGTTTGGCCTCATCTGGTCTGTCAGTCAGGACAGTGTGTATAAAAGGGGATTTTTGTGGAATAGAATGGCAGAAAAACGTCATCATTAGCTGGTCATTAAGTCCCAAAGGGCAACAATAGAACCCACAGTAAAGCCTGTAAAGTCCATCTCTCTCATGTTTTTCCCAACAGGGAGTCATCCTAACTTTTAACCCTACTGAGTGTCTGTACAGCAATCAGACCACCAGTGTGCCTTTGGAAAGGTTCGTTAAATGTTGCTGCATTTCCCCTTTCAACAATACTTGAAATATCCGATCAATATCTTCAGTTATCTTTTATTGTTTCTGTTGCCTCCCCCTCCTCTGTCGCTCTTCACCCTGCTGTGTGTGTGTGTGTGGCAACCCCATATGCTGATGATTGAGACCCTCTCATTGGTTCAGATGGCACATTTGTCAGACACATGTTTACCAGCAGCTGCTGTTGCTGTTGCTAGGGCTGCAGAGGAAAGCATCTCTTGTTGACTTCCTCACTGGGTGGCTCATTTGTTTGTCAGGGTACCGTGACCCCTGACCCCGCTACCACCTCCTGCCTCTCACACTGCTGCCTGTTAATGTGACTGTAGGCTCCCTGACAGGCCTCTCGCCCCCACTCTTCCACCACACTCATGCATGCATGATTCCTGGAAGGGAGAAACATGGAAAGATCAACACTTCCAACGGTAGTCTTAGTTAAAGTAAGTCTCACAAGGAAACAGCCACAGGGATACTGTGATGAAAATGTATGCAGGCAGGATGACCTTACTATAGCCAGTGAGTGAGATTGAAGTGTGAACAGAAAGTAACACTCCAAGGGAATATTGCTTCTTTTCTCTTTTTGATTAATACACATTTGAATTTTAAAATTACCTTACTGAAGACTATTAATCATAACCCCCAAACCATATACTGAAACTACCCACTAAGTATTATATCTACTTCAGTGTCTCAGGGGCGTGATGATGGCTATAAGGGTGTTTTTTTACAAGCTTAACCGGTTCTGTCCAGACCAGTCACTGAGCTTACATAAGACCAGGGAGGTTATTAATTCCTTAATTCCAATGTAGAGTGAAAGGATCACGACTTCTGGCATCTCTGTCTCACTACTGACTTTCATTTGCCTTCGATAGTGAAAGCTGAACTGGGACCTCAACCTCAGAAGAGAGATACTCCTGTCAGTGGTTTAATCTGCCCTTCATCGCCAGTGTTATCGTGTCAAATAACTGGTTGAGATGTATTTTAAGGAGATGATGAGTATATGAAAATGCATGTTATTACTTAAATGTACTGGTATTTGGGGGTTCCGTGGCAACCACTTGACCCAGCTTGTCTTTGACAAGTATCGTCCTTCTGCAAAACTTATTTCTTTGGTTATCTAGACTTGGACGAATGTAGAAAAGTCCAATTTAAAACACAAAACTTAGGGGCAGTCACCGAACAGAAACAGAAAAAATATCTGCACGTATAGGGTTTGTCCCATAATCATAATTTGTGCATTGCACATGGATGTAGTCTCAGCAGTGATTTGTAGATATATGTAAACCTAAAGGTGGAAGTTATGCTTGTTGTCAGAATGAATTATCATAGACAAATTTGTGAATCTAGTAAACTGTGAAAACACTGCCATACCATATTGTTTTCTTTCAAATTTGACTGACAGCTGGCATCAACACACCTGGGAAACACACTACGCTATCAATCTAAATCGCAAAAAGATATTTGATGTGGTCTCTGGGAACGTCACTACTCTCTCTCTCGCTCCATCTTTTGGATTAGAAAAGGAACGGTTTGAAAGTGTTGCTACTTTAATGTGAGCAGATTTGCTCCTAGTCACTAAAACTTTGAAAACTTCAGTTGGTGGTGAAACCTTCTTTTTTTCATACAAACACATTAGAAGCCAAACCTTAATTTCTTTGCCCATATAATTTTCAGCTAAATTTAAATACATAATTGAAGAGTTGCTTACATAATTAAAAATCAAAACAAGCACAAGCCTGTGTTGATTCTTGATTTACAATCTTCACTGATCTACACAAACTTTCAACAGTGTCTAAAACTCTGTCTGTGTATGAGTCCTGTCAGTTTAAGAGTGATGTTGCAGTCACATGTTTTGTATTTTGGTGATGGGGCTACACTTATTTTTGCATCACGGATCATGCCTCAAAAATCAACGAGTTACAGTCTAGTTTCTACAGTAAAATGAATTGTAGTATGAATTCAATAAATATTTGTTTGGTAGAGCTGATGATGGAAACATCCACAGCTTTCTTTATCACTATGCTTCTTATAAACAGATAACCCTCATGACCTACACTATGATGGTTGGCAAATGTCTCTACCGTTTGCATAGACAGATAACATGTTTTTTATTTGGGCTACAGATATTAAGGGGGCGGAAACATGATTGATTGAATTCTGACTCCCATAGCGGTCGAGACAGACAGTAGAGTTATTAGCCTTGTGGTGAAAATGTACATTCTTTATATTACTTACATTTTATATCAGGAAGTTGAACTGTTGAAATGCTCGAGCTGGCTATGCAGGCCTGTATCTCGTTCTCAGCTCTACTGTAACCCTAAAAATTGTTCAGCCAGGCAGCTTCCTGAGCACCGGTTTATTTACAGCATAAACAGTCTCATCTGACACGTCTTTGAAGGACCATTAAAGGTGCATCGGAGTCACAAGATACCTCCATCCTCTATGGTGCCCTCTCCAGCCAGTGACACTCTTACTGACCACCTAGTTGGCCCACACCAAGAATTGGGCCTGTAGATAAGATTTAGAGGCTGAATTTTCTTAAGATGAGCAGATTGACTGCAGTCAGATGAAAAACACATGACTTGCTGGAGAGGAGAGTCCCTCTGGTTCCATAATTTTAGTAATTTTCCTACCTCCTTTCAATCCTTTTTTTACCTCCCTATCTGTGTCCTCCCCTTTAAACAGGAACCATTAAGCATATTTTCCATCCTACCGTACGTCTGTTTGTCAGGTAACACCTTCAATCTAAAGAGCCCCCTGAGCTCCCACACAAATCCACTCACAGACTTGCTGAGTTGTGTGTATGTGTATTACTATGTGCATTTACGTATATGTCTTTGTGTGTAGTTGAGTACATTTTATGCATTCTTGATTATGAGTCCAAGTATAAGTCAGATTGGAGGTGGTATGCTATGTGTCTACTGACAAATAACTGTTGGATCGGCCGCCACGGGTTTATTAGACACTTTATCCAACAGGCAGAAAATTGGCCTGAATATTTGCCTGCTCTTCTGCTCCTTCTGCTACGGGAATGCAGACCCAGCAGCTCTGATTGCTTCTGACAGTGACAACAAGAACAGTCTGTCTGAGAAGACTTTCTGAAGACCTCCTCCTGCATCTGCACAGAAAAGTCAGAAGAATGAGCCAAATAAAACAAGAAATTGCTTTTCTCTCCCAATTTCTTTGCAAACTTTCTTGGACTTAGATGCTATATTGTTAAAGTTGGGATACCACCACACAAGTAGCGCAGTTGTTTAAGGTTATCCGTAGGAGTTGTTT